GCCATAGCCGACCTGGAGCTCCAACCGAAGAGCCCATCGTGCCATGCGCAATCGGAAAATGGGGAGCTACGTGCGCAAGAGAAGGATGCGAAAGAGGAGGCGGGTGAGACATTGGACGAGCAGGAAGATAACTGGGGACAGTGAGGAAGGGTGAGGACGAACAGAAGCAGCAGGAACTGGAGTGGAAGGAATGAGTGGGAGGAGCAGGAGGACCAGGGGAAGGCGGAGGGAAAATTGAAGGGGCCCTGGTACACCCGCGTCCTCCTCCTCCTGCTCGTCCTGCTCGTCCTGCTCCTCCTCCTCCTGCTCCTGCTCCTGCTCCTCATGCTCCTCCTCGGCGTTGTCGTCCTCCTGCTCCTCCTCGTCGTCGTCGTCGTCCTCCTCCTCCTCCTCCTCCCTCCTCCTCCTCCTCCCTCCTCCCTCCTCCTCCTCGTCCTCCCTCGTCCTCCCTCGTCCTCGTCCTCCTCTTCCTCCCGCCGCGCTCTTCGCTCTCTCTCCCTCTGGCCTCTGGCCTCTGGCCTCTGGCCTTGGGATCCTGGTCCTGGTCCTCCTCTCCCTGCTGCTTCTCTCATGCTCCTCCTCCTCCTCCTCCTCTTCCTCCTCCTCCCTCCTCCTCCTCCCTACCTCCTCCTCCTCCTCCTCCTCTCCTCCTTCCTCTTTCGTCCTCGTCCTCCCTTCCTCCTCCTGCCTCCTCCCTTCTCCTCCTCCTGCTCCTGCTGCTCCTCCTCCTCCTCCTCCTCCTCCTCTTCCCCCTCCTCCTCCTCCTCCTCCTCCTCCTCCTCCTCCTCGCCCATCTTCCTCCTACTCCTCCTCCTCCCTGCTCAGTACTCCTCCCCTCCCTCCTCCTCAGTCCTCAGTCCTCAGTCCTCAATCCTCCTCCTCGTCCTTTTCCTTCAAAATCAACAACTCCTCCCAATCGCACAGCGAGGCCGGTCGAAGGGGGGGCCAGGCGTTTCGCTTGAGATTTCTTCACCATTGTCAATGACCCTGGAGCTAAACAAATGACCACACTTTCACAGATGGAGGGCGCGTGGTTTTCAAATTGTGGCTCTCGCCGTAGCTCCGCGCACATTCGTGGTCGTCACATTCGTCGTCGTCGTTGACAGAGACGCAGTGAGGCTTTAGACCCGGACGAGGTACCACCGACGCAATTCACGCAGTGCGCCGTCTCATCGAACTCGCACATGCCCAAAAGGATAGTGGCGCGACGTTTGTAGCCCTAGACTGGAAAGAAACATTTGATTCGATCAACGTCGATGCCCTGCTGGTCGCTTTGCGCCGCTAAGGCGTGCCACCGAAGATGCTTGCACTGATTGGGAACCTCTACAGTGGACGGCGGTTTTGCGTGGCGGATGGGGCGACAAAATCATCGGAGCCAGCGCAGTTGTCTGGAATTTCTCAAGGGTGTCCTCTGTCATCATTTCTTTTTGTTATGTTGGTGACAGATTTGGTGCGGGAGGCTGTCAGGAAGCTCACAGACAAAGAACGATCCGACATGTGTGCCGGGGACCTACAGCTGCTGTTGTACGCCGACGACACCTTGCTCATTGGGAGGCACCAGGACCAATAGTGGCGTGCAGTTGCGAGCACCAGTAGGACAACTGATCGCGGAAAAGGAATGTCTGACGTACTGGGGGGCTACATTACAGTGAGGGTCTTGACGTAAGGAACCATACATAAGGAACGAAATCCCTTTTTTCCAAGTAAGCCCATGAAGCCAGAAGGAACGGCCGAGCCCCTTTCTAGCGGCGTTCTGCTGCGATTTGCTCTTGCAATTCGACCCCCGCCCTCTCCGCCAAACCACCAAGGAACGCCCGCCCCCCCCCTCCCCCCCCGCGCGCGCGCCCCGCAAGGAACGGGGGGGCCCGAGAGAGGAGCTGGGCCTTGACGCGACCGCCGTAGCTTTATGTCGAGCCAGTGAGCTCCGAAACGCGCGGCGTAAGGAACGGGAAGTGCTCCGGCGGGGAACTGGACCTTAATGCCACTTCCCTGGCGCGCGGAACGGGCGAGAGCTCCACCGCGCGCCCCGCAAAGAACGGGAGGGCCCCAGAGAGGCGCCGGGCTTTTAAGCGACCGCCGTCGCATTACGTCGAGCAAGCGCAAGGAACCGAGCCCCCCCGTGGAGCCCCGTTCCTTAGACCGTCCGCCCCGACCGAAAAAATTAACCCGCGCGTCCAAAATCGTAAGGAACACCGGGGGGGCTCGCCGCCAAAAAGGTAGCGGAACGCATGCAAACATAAGGAACGACCGAGCCCCTTTTGAAAAGCAAGTGTTCCTTACTCAAGGCTTTCACTGTATACAATAACGGCAGGGTTAACACAGAACTGAATCGACGAATTGGAGCTGCGTGGAAGGAGTTTGTAAGATATGACAGGGCATGGAAGCATACATCGATCAGAATTCGGCGGAAGCTGGAACTATTTCAAGTGCTGGTGACATCAAACTGATGTACTCTCTGAATGCAGCTTGGTTGAATCAGTCGGAGAGAAGACGTCTTGATGGATTTCAATCGCGGTGCTTACGCAAGATCTTACACATTCCTCCGTCTCGTGTGTCACGGATACCCAGTAGCAGCGTCCTGGAACAAGCGTGACAACTACCATACAGCGCACAACTTCTACATCAGCAGCTCGTACTTTTCGGGGAGATAGGCCGTGCTCCAGAATCTGACTTCCTACGACAGCTGACTTTTCAGCCTGGCGGCGTGAAGCCAGCAACGCATGCTTTCCCGAGAAGACGAGGCAGGCCCGAACAAGAATGGGCCAAGTGCTTATACAGCTCATCATCTGCACAATTTGGTGGCGACGAGCAATTGATGCAGAGCTGAGAGACCCGGCGCTGTGGAGAACAGCGGCAGACGCCATCGCTCGCCCTGAAGGTGCAAGAGGCCATATGTAACACACGTCCTTGTTTTTCGCGCCCTGGCGCCCTGGCAGGAGGCACACAGCAGAAAGCATGACGCAATCTCGTTGCCCGCGGTTTTTCTGCGTACCCGCGCTAAGCAACGTGAGGCGCACGTTTTTGCCCACGCGCCTTTGTGGCGTATGGCTTGTTCGTTCGTTCTGTCCCTCCTTCCCGTCACAGGGGCGCCCCCAGCCAGCCCACGGTGCCTCCAGCATTCCCCGGGGAGGCCCCCCACGGCCCCCGTGTTTTTTGGGTCCATATATATATATATATATATGTGTGTGTGTAATAAAACAATGCGGTCGGACCTAGGACAGAAGAGTATCCTTCAAGAACATGAGACCCTCCGCCTGCCAAACTGAAGAACTTTCGAGGGTGCCCTCCCTCAGGATGCACACGAACATCCAACAAACCCGAAGGACATTAGGGTACCTCCCCCGAACCGACCTCGATCTTCTACATCGGTCCGACAGCACTTGCCATCTCTCTGGGCTTTTTCTTCGCAAGACGATCCAGGATGCTCCTCGATGACCCCCGCCGAGAAGGGGTACACACGTCAGAGCGATACCGAGCAAGTCCCGACCCCTTCCCCAGGGCCAGCTCTTCATCCCGAGCTGTTTTTCGAGGGTCATGGGGCCAGGCGAAGGCCTCCGGAGGCCAAAAACGGCCAACAAGATTCCCATTGTGATTTCTGTTGTGCGGCGCGAGCTTGTCTGGTTTGGGGCCTCAGAGGGGCACGAGACAGCTGGAATGCGGGGACAGCAAGCGACCACGACCACATCGAGGACGCACCCTGGGGGATGTTGTGCGCATGCCAACAATCGTCAGAGCACTGGTACCAGCTCAGTAGTGGTTGTGATCGATGTGGGCGTCCCAGATGGCCCAAATCGACCACAACCACAACCAAAGGGCTCATGTCAAGGTCGATGGACTTCCCTACGAAGCCAGGACGGGAATGAAATGGGATGAGACTAAATCGGATCTCTGAGATCCAGCGGCTCTGGAAAATGCTTCGGGCGCCGCGGCCTTCTCAGAGCGTTCCGGAACGCTCTGAGAGCGCTCTGGATCGCTCTGGAACGGATCTATCCTCGTCCTAGTCCCGTCCGATGCCCAGACGTCCCTCACTCGAGGAAGGAAACTCAGCATGAATTGACGCTTGCAGGATGCTTTGGGCAATGGTACAGTGGAGGCCAGTCCACAAGAAACCTTCCACAAGAAACCCAATCCTGAGACCCCAGGACGTCCACTGATTTTTGGTGAGGGGTCGTCGCGCTTTCCGCAGCAAAACCATCGAAACCCAAGAAACCCAGGGCACCCTAGAGGCAAGCATGGCGTTTCTTGGCATGGGTCTCGACTTCAGGGCCCAGTGATCTTTCGGCGTCCTCTGCTGCAACTTCTTGGCCGAATTTGCGGCAGCCCCGTGCGGTCTCCCGAGGGGTCCTCCCGATAAATCCATTTAGTTTGACGCCCGAAGTGGGTACGGAAAAAACTGGGTACGTTGCCCAACGACAAATGTTACCCCAAACCGACAGCGGTCTTCTGCCTCAAATGGACAACGCCTGCGGCGACACCGACAACGATTCATATGCAAAATGATCAAGAAGTGCTGTCAATCTTCGTACCTCGTTCGGCGACGCGCAAGGGTGACCCTAGGCAAGAGTGGCCTCTGGTGTGCGACGTCCAGGGGCCGTGGGGAGGCGAAACTCGAGCGCGCCAGACGCTGCTGTCGCATCGCGTTCCAGTCAGTCTGGGGACCCCGGTGTGCCCGCACCAACGGACCAAAGGTCACCCCGGCGAACGGTCACTCTTACGTGCAGCCGATTCGTTTTTAGTAGGCCCTATCCCCCTACAGGCCGATTTTCGAGGAAAATTCAAAATAGTCGAACAAAAATCCCTAGAATATTCAAAAATGGTCAAAACATGGTTCTCAGACGATGTTTTTTTTTCTCCGAATATTCCTCCTGTAGAGGGACAGGCCCGACTTACGATTCGTTGCGGCTGTGACTCTTTGCTGCGCCCGGGCGGGGAGCACCTCGGGCCGGGGGAGCGCCCTCGGCCCCCCCCCCGGCGCCGCGGCCCCGGCGGGGGGCAGCCGCCTGCGCCCCCGGCGTGGGCGTGGGCGTGCTCGGCCACACCTGCGGGCCAGGAGGGGACGGGTCGGGACCGGCAGCGAGCGAGGGGGGGGGAAATGAGGAGGAGGAGGTCCACTCGGGATCGTCTTTCCACGCCGCCTCAGGAACGTTAAGTCGGGCACGTCCTCCTGCAGGGGGATTTTTAAGACGAGAAATCACAAATAGTCCAAACATCCACCATATTCCTCCTGTAGAGGGACGTGCCCGACTCGACAGAAACTCGAAGAAACCCACGCGGAGCTCCGCCCGTGATCTTCCATGAGCTCCGCGCGGAAGGCGCGCCAGGGGGGCACGGCGCCGAGCCAAGACATCCGCGCGGACCGTCGACGGTGTATGCCTCTGCCGTTGCTTTGTTCGACGGCGGGCGAAGGGGGGAAGAAGCGAGAAGGAAAGCAGGAGAGCCCAGAATCCAATCGACAAATCGGATCGGCGATCGACATGAGTCGGATCGGCGGAAATCGGCAGCGGAGTCGGGAAACGTCGAACCGGCAGGAATCGGCAGGCTAGTATGCCTCCCATGGGAGATCGGAACCCAAGTCGAAATCCCATGTCGAATCGAATCGCAATCGGAGGACCTCGGAATCGAACCGAATCGGAGGAATCGAGACGAGCCCTGGGAAATGGCCCTGCTCAAAAACGGCGGGGCTTCTCAAAAGGCCTCCGGCCTTCTGCCGGGCTGTCGGCGGTCTTCGGGACAGGCTCGGGAGCACTTCTAGGGGGCCACATGCGAACCCTACCCCTACCCCCCACGCTTTCTGAGGAGGAGGAGGGGGAGGAGGAGGAGGAGGAGGAGGAGGAGGAGGAGGAGGAGGAGGAGGAGGAGGAGGGGGAGGAGGAGGAGGAGGAGAAGGAGGAGGAGGAAGAGGAGGAGGAGGAGGAGGAGGAGGAGGAGGAAGAAGGACTGCTGGGGGCCTTGCACGGATCGAGATACCAGAGCGCCGCGGCGGCATCTGCGCCCCCCCCCCCCGGGCGGGAAGGGGGCGGGAGGCGGGAGGCAGGAGGTCGGGCCCGCGCGCCGAGGCTGCGGTGCGCGGATGATGGGACCGAGGGGGGCTGCTCTGGCCACGGCGAGCCTCGGCCACGAAAAGGTTGCCCGAAGGGGCCCCCCAAGAGGCTCCCCAAGAGGCCCCCAGGATGCTCCCAAGAGGCCCCCAGGACTACCCTGTCCTGAGGCCTACGAGCGCGCTCCGAAGAGGCCCCACGAAGCATCACTGAGGACTCTGCCCCACGTCGTCGTCGTCGTCGCCGCCGACGCCGCCGTCGTGGTCGTCGTCCCCCTTCAAGGTCGGCGGCACTGTCCGAAAGGCCTTGCTGGTTAGGAACGAAGAGTTTTTTTTTGTGGCCACGACGAGCTACATGTGGCTTCCCCGACCTGAATCTGAGGAGCGGTCGAAAACCATAGCCCCTCCTGGGCCCAACGTGGTCCTTAGATCGGCGTCTTGGCTGTCGGACGAGAGTGGTGTGTGAGCGTCGAGAGGAGGCGGGTCTTGCGCACAGTGGCGTGGCGGACTTGCGCGGCGACTTACGCGGGCTGCCAGCGCGGCTCGCTGCATTGGAAACGACGAGGGCGCCTACGCGCGACCTTCCGCGGGCAGCGTACGTGCGAACGTCCGCGCAATCAAACCCGCCGTTTTGTTGCGTCGCTCATGTTATGGCATGGTTGGCTCAGGATGCGTTCCTGGACAGCTGAAATATCTAGTGTTAGGTCGGGCATGCCCGCCTGCAGGCGGATCTAGGAAGAAAGACACAACATATTCGACAAGTATTCAAAATAGTAACAACATGCTAGAAAGAAAACATCCAAATACTATTTTTCACTATTCTTGAATATTCCTGTAGAGAGACATGATCGACTTAAATCTTGCGGCCCTCGCTTCTGCAGCCCGTGGGGAACGACAAGACATCTAGCACATCCCGGAACCCACCACTGTCATGACTGGAGGCCTCCTTGATCGGGTCCCAGCAGATGGGGTCGCAGGATCGCGCCGCATCGCCGCACCGATGCATCGGCACCGTCGGCGTGGAGCAAATCGGGCTCCACATCGAGCCGCATCACCAACGCATCATCGATGCGGCTCGATTCTCCGACACCATCTGCTCGAACCCCATCTGGGCGGCCTGGGATTAAGTCGGGCGTGTCCCCCTACAGAGGCATTTTCGACGAAAATTAAAATTACTCCGACGGAAGGACCCCGCATGAGAATCCTCTGGGCGAATCTGGAAAAGCCCTCACCGTCGTCCTCGTGGTTGGTGAGGCGTCCTGGCTGTCCTCGCCCTCCTGTTTTGGCTCCGGACATTCAGAAAGTGGCCCGGGAATTGTGTTCTGGGAACACGAAGAACACGAAGTGGCCTACAGTTGGCTACGGGCATTCAAAATGTGGCCCGGGAGTGGTGTTCTGGGAGCACGAAGAACACGAAGTGGCCTACGGTTGGCTCCGGGCATTCAAAATGTGGCCTGGGAATGGCGTTCTGGCATCGCGAGAGCCCAACAGTGGCGACTGTCATAGGAATTGGATGACCCGCTCGGATTGATAACATGATCCGCGGGCCCCAGAGGGAGGGGGCTCCCGCTTGAGACTTCCTCGCAATTCACTCACAAATGTGGCCTGGGAGTGGAGTTCTGGCAGCGCTAAAAAGCCCAAAAGTTGCGACGGTTACAAGAATTGGACGACCCGCTCGGATTAGTAACATGATCCGCGGGCCCCATAGGGAGGGGGTTCCCGCTCGAGACTTCCTCGCAATTCACTCACAGACGAGGCCCAAGGCGAGTGAGTGAGTGAGTGACTGACTGACTGGTGATGATGATGATCATCACACTCTCTCACGCGCACACTCATCATCATCATATGTGAGTTCATGAACGTGTGAGTGAATGAGTGTTGATGAGTGAGTGAGTGAGTGAGCTAGTGAGTGGGTGAGTGGGCGCGCGAAAACAGAAGAGGAGAGGGGGTGAGGTGAGGAGGTTCCTGCGCGGGGTGTCCAGAGAAAACAAGAACCCCACTTTGGATGTGGGGAAATACTGAAGAAATGCTCCAACATGGACAAACACACTCAAAGAATAGTCCCCGGACTATTTTTTGACTATTTCTGAATACCCCCCCTGTAGAGGGACAGGCCCGACTTAAGCCTAGAAGGACGTCTCGCTCCTCCGAAGGGGAGGCAGGCTGCCAGGCCCGCGCGCCGAGGGAGCAACGGGGGCTCGCGTAGAACGCGGGGGCGGGAAGGCACGAACGAGGAGGACTCCCAGCCCCAGGCGCGCGACGTCCTGGTTCGTCGCACGTCTGAGGAGTGGGGCGGCGCCCCCAGCGTCAGCAGGAATGCAGCAGCGAGGTGGAGGGGGAGGAGGAGGAGGAGGAGCAGGAGGAGGAGGAGGAAGAGGAGGAGGAGGAGGAGGAGGAGGAGGAGGAGACGGAGACGGAAAAGGAGGAGGAGGAGGAGGAGGAGGAGGAGGAGGAGGGGGAGGAAGAGGGGGAGGGGGTGCTATATAGCGACCCTCGGTGCGCGGCTATCTTCACGCCCAGGAGGGCCGCTCTCCTGCCCGGGCGGCGATCCTCCCCCTGCCCCAAGCTCCTCCTTTTCCCCCTCCCTCCCCTTCCCCGTCCCTTCCTTCTCCTTCTCTCCTCATGTCAGCCAGCGTGGGCCCCAAACACTGAGTTATTGCACAGTAGAGGGGACACATATGTTGTCTGAGCTCTGTGGTGCAAGCTGCAATGCGATATTTTGTATAGACAGACATAGTATATATGTGTGTGGTGAAGATGCGTTGCGTAAGCTACGTGGTGTGATTATATGGTGTGACCTACGTCGTGTAAACAGCGTAGTGCACACTATGTATTGGTTTTGTTTTGCTGTGTGAACTATGCGCGGTGTGAGCTGTGGGTTGCAAGCTCTGTGGTGCAAGGTGTGTAGCGAACAGTCATCGCCCGGAGGCGGCCCGTGGCTGGGCGACGGGCGCGCTGCGAGGCGCGCTGGCTCTCTGAGAGGACCGGGAAAAGGCCAGAACCGATTCACGAGACAGCGCGCATGCATACAGGGGAAGGGGCAGGGGAGGCAACAAGGAATCAGCAAGCAAATATGTGGAATTGAATGGAAAATTGATAGAAAAGAACGGCGCGACTCCTCACCGCCACGAGAACTCCACATACTCGCTCTCCCTTTTCGACCGGGCTTCTGTGTCTTGGGCTGCAGACACCCAGGACTCCCAGTGCATCTTTTCGGCAAATGACACCAAATCGTCCTCCCATCTTGAAAAACGTCCCGGGCGCGAGCGGGTCGGACAAGTAATAGTTCCTCTGGACTGTCCCTTCCACCATGCACTGTCTCTCCACACTGTGGTCCTTCGGGCCCGCCGGTCCGTTGTCATGTTTGCAACTTTGTCTGCCCAGCGCCACTTTGCTTCTAAATACATCGTTGGCGGGCGACAGATATCCATTATGCGGGTGTAACAAAGGCTTCAAAGTCCTTGGCACGATGATCACCATGAACGGGAACACAAACGGGGAGTTCGATCTTGTGGTGCGCGGAGTCGTGGAAGCTCACAGTGGCACAAAAGACGCGCTTGCGAAGCACACATAGAGCAATGTTACGCCGAATGGTGGGCCCGAAACGAGGACCAGATGAAGAGTACGTCAGCTGGATCAAGCGAGCCACGCATATCGCAGAAACCAGAGCAAAGCACGCAAACTGCGAATGTTGGGTGCAAGGTGTGTGGTGTACGCAATCAGGAGGCAACAACTGGAGAAAAAGCCAAAAGCCCACGGGGTTCTGTGGCATAATCGCACGGGGCGCCCACGGGCGGGCACCCGGCGCGAAGCCTCTGGAATGCGCTCAAGCGCGGGGGTCGCCCACGGGGCCCCTACAGGTACAGCGGGAAAAAAGGCAGACCATCGGGAACCCCACCAAGCGCGGGGCGCCCACGAAAAGCGCGCACGGTCTACACCAAGCGGACACCAGCCGCACACCCGGGAAACCCGTCCAGTTCCTCAAGTAAGCCAAATAAGAAC